GAGGGGCGGGGAGGTGGTGGGGGGGCCGTCCCGAGCGGGGGTGGAGGCGGAGATGCCGCCGCCGCAGCCTCCGCGGTGGCTGCCGCTGCCGTAGCTGTCGCCGGCGCCACTGCCTCCTCCTCCGGCCGAGACGCGGAGCGAGCAAGCGAAAGCGGCGGCGAGGAGCCCGGCGCACACCACAGCTGGATCCCTCACTCCAACTTCAAAGCCTCGGCCCCGCCTCTCCCCAGCCAGCCCCGCAGCCAATCGCCTCGCGCCGCCGGCTCCGAACCTCATGCCCATTGGCCGGCCGCCGTGGCAGTGCGGGCGGGGGCGCCGGGGAGAGAGCCACAGCTGGAATCCGGTTCCCACCCCAAAGCCTGGGACCGCCCCTCTCCCCTCCCCTTGCCCCTGGTGTTCGCTCCCGAAGGCCGGAGCCAATTAGACGGCTACCCAGACCGAACCCACTTTCCTATTGGCCGTTGGGGTCTCAGGGACTCCTCTGGAGGGGGCCCCAGGGAATCAGAGTATTTGACGCGGGGTCCTGGGATAGCGCCACCGGCCTCCGGGCATCCTTTGTCCACGACCCCTGAATTGGACCACAGCCGGAGGGCGGGGCTCAGCTCTGGGCGGGCCTGGAGCTGAAGGGAGGCAGCCCGCCCCGGAGGGATGTGACCAGGGTCCTGGGGAGAAATCCCGGGTCTCCACCAGATTAATCCTCCACCCTGGAGTTGAGCCTGGGAGCAGGACTGAGGAAAGGGCGAGCAGAGCGGGATGTCGCAGGGGTAGGGATTCAGGCTGAAGGAGGCTGGTCTTAGGGAAATGGGCGGAGCCAAGGAAAGGCCGGGGTAGGCAAGGTCTGGGCGTGGCCTCCACTGACCTCAGGCTTGTTGATCCTCCACCCAGGTCCACTTCTGAGAGTTTGACCCTAATTTTCTAACCCTAACTCGCTGACTCTGACCTCACGCTGACACTCCTGAGCTTCACGAGAGGGCTTCGTGCTTGAACACGTGGCCCCAGGCAGGTCACGCCAGACCCAGAGCCCAGATCCCCAAGAGCAGCTGCAGAGCAGAGGGGAACCTGCAAATGGACCTGCGGGGATCTCAAGTATGTGGGAGGGGATGGAAGCATAGAGCTGGGCTTTGCCAACTCTTCACCTGCGAAGGTTCACCAAGCCCCCACTCCGTGCCTCAGTTTTTCCTCGAGTTCCAACACTGCCTAGGGGGAGGCTGTCCTCAAAACAGGAGCTTCGTGAAGCTGCTTTACTTGCACACCTCCACCCTACCCAGCGAGTCCTCGAGGATTTCCACGCTTGCACACACACGTACAGACCCCGGCCCTTGCCCCTCCTCACCTTCCTGACTCCCCGGGCTCAGTCAGCTCCAGCTCCCTCTCGCCGCTGGTGCTATCCCTAAAGGATATGGGTACCCGGGAGCCAGGTGCTGAGCGCTGAGGTGAGGTGGGGCGGGGAGGGCATCCAGGATTAGACGTCGGGTATCTCTTCCCCACCTCTGCGCGAGGTAGAGACGGCAGAGCCAAACAGGTCAGTCAGTTTCCTCTCCCGAGACAGCGGGGGCTCTTACGCCACTGCGGAGAGGCAGAGGGATGGACCGGATGACCTCCTGCGCTCGTCCCGACTTCCCAGCGTTTTTTCGTTCTCCCAAGGCTGCACCACCCACGCCTCCCGCCGCGTGGTGTGGGTCTCAGCTCCCTCCCAGGCGAGTTGCGGGGAGTGCAGTGAGGAGGGAAGAGCGGCTGATGCTCTGTCGCCTCCCAGGTTGCCCTTTCGCCAAATCCCGGCACAGAGTTGTGCAAATGAGGCCGGGCTCATTTGCATTTCATGCTAATAAGCAGATCCCTTAAGTGCCTTTCTCTCCTGGCAGGAGTCTCTGCTCTCATTCCGAGTGTGCCCGCACCAGAGTCTTGAACTGGCAGTGGTCTTCTGGGAGAGGGGCCTATTTACGGTTGGCTCCACCCATCTGACACCTTCCCCTTCAACGGTCTGCAGTCTGCCTAGCCTGCCTGCCCTTCCCAGACAGGATCAAGAGGCCCCAGCACCAGCAGCCAGAGGTAGTGACTCTAATCATACCCTCCTAGCACAGGGAGAAATGAGGTCAGAGAGGCTTGCCCAGCCCAGTGGTTGGGTTTCCTGATGGTCAGCAGGCCCCACACCTTCATCCATCATCGAGGCCACCCCACCACCCCCAACTCTGGGCTGAACTCAGTTCTAGAACATATTCAGAAAGGGGGACAGATGTGTACCATCTGAACAAATAATCCCTGGGCTTGGGGCCGGGGTGATCTGCGCCTAAGGCATCCTGACCCCTGTACAGGACACCAGGGGACTCTGACATCCCTGTCAGAGAGCTGTTAACCCCAGTGGGGAGATGAGGAGCGAGGCAGTATCCACGAAGAAGGCATATGAAGCCGTGGAATGGTCTCTGACTCCCACCCTCCAAGCTTCAGCTCTGACATCACCTCCTCTGAGTGGCCTTCTTTCAGCAAGTATTGCAGTGCCTACTAAGTGCCAAAGTGCTAAGGACACAGTACTGGGCCAGACAAGAGTCCACAGCCTCAGAGCACGTGACCCAGCCTGGGATTACGTCTGCATCTGTAGTAATGAAATGGCTGGCTCCCACTCTAGGCTCTAAATTCCCTGAGGGCAGGGACTCTGTCCACTTTACTCACCAATTTGGCATATAGTAGGTGCTTAATAAATCTTTATTAAGTGAATGAATAACATCAGGCAGAGAGGGGGAAAGAAAGGGACAAGAGATTCCTTTCTCTGGGTCTCAGTTGGTTTAACTCTTGTCTAAGAGCTCTTCTGGTTTTGAGGGAGAACCCCCAATTGGGCCCTGCTCCACCAGCCCCTCCAGCCCTCTCCATCCCTCTCCCATTTACACCTCCCTCACAGCCTGGCTGGCTCCCTCAGGAACTGAGAGAATTTTCCCATAGGTGATGCTCTCTGCTTAGCAATGATACATTGTCCTATTTAGTCACCTCACAGCCTTGGGAGCTGGGTGGTTGCTGGGTGGGAGTTCGGTGGTATTTTTTAGATAAGGAAACTGAAGCTCCAAGAGATGTAATTACTTAAATGACTGCCCAAACTAGGAGACCCTTGTCTCCCATGGCCCTGGCACACAGCTCCTCCGGGACAGTCTTGCCAATAGAGCAAGGATCATACCCAAGAGGGCCCAGCAAAGGGGAAGAGAGGCTGAGGACTTAAAACTCCACAGCTGAGCAAGACTTATGTTCAGCCTTGCTCTCTTTAGGAAATGCAAGCACTCCCAACAGAACTAACCCTTTAAGGCCCTGACTCCTTTCTCTGAATCCGTTTACTGAATCCCATTGTCAAGTACATGCCTGATACCAGGGGAAGGGAGAAAGGAGACACACAGCAGAAAGAAGACAGGAGGGAGGGGTAGAAAACACCAAGTACCCTCCTTCAGAGCTGTGCCTGGACCTCCTAGGGGAAGAGGCAGCCTTACTGGTCTTCATTGTACCCTACAAAGAACTAGATGTATTGAGCAGTTTCAGGCCAATCTCTCACCCTCTCTGGGCCTTGAACATCTATCCCTATGAGGCCAAAGGTACCTGCCTTGCTACCTCATTCATGAGGGTCAATGGGATGACAGAGGCAAGAGGGCTTTGCAAACTGCCCAGACCTTTGCAAAGCCAGGGCTGGGGCTGCCAAAAAGGCCACCTGTGCTTCCCCATGCTCCACACTCCCTCTTCACTGCCCCCTAGACCAGGCTCTGCTTGCCCAGCCCTCAGACTTCCTGGCAAGACTGAGGAAGGCTCCATCCAGAAAGGGGCCAGCTGACCTTGTTGGCCAGAGCCCTAATCCTCTCCAGATGGGCCGGTGGCTTGCACCAAGGGCCGAGCTGCCCAGACAAAGCTGACCTGGGTCCCAGTGACCATGTGTGGCTGCGAGTGACAGTGTGCAGGGGGTAGCCATAGTCCCGAGCAGACCTTGGAGTGACTCAGTCCAGTTTCCCAGCTCCTTCCTGTCCCATCCCTTCCCTTCCCGCTGCTGACACCCCCACAAGCAGTGGCCCCATTCACACTTCGTCTCCAGCAGCCTCTTCTGATTATGTATTGTTTGGCCCTGGGGCTACAAGGATGCCTAGATCAGCAGACCCCTAAGCGGCCTGATGTTGGGGACAGCCCATCACCCTACACTTGCCCTTCTGAAAGCATGCTTCCCAGTTCCCTTCCCCAGTGGAAGCTAGATGGGGGTTCTGGGGCCTGCGAAGTTTCGGGTGCAAGGATGGAGCATACGAGCATCTCCCAATATTGAGGAAACAGGAGGAGGTCACAAGAAGACAGAGGCTTTACCTGCAGCAGGAAGGACTCAGGTTTGGAGGATTTTTAACCCAACAGATATTCCAAATGAAAGAGAACTCTTTCCCTGGACTGGCTTATATGAAAGCAGGGGGATGGACAATATAACCTTCTGCAGGGAGGCTAGGACCTAGGTGGATACCCCCAAAGAAATGTCCTTTGTCCCGATAGCAGTAGATCCCACAATGGGCCAGAGCACATGCAAATGTCACCATCTCATGAAAAATAAAAGCTCATATGAAGCATCTCCCTGTGTCTTCCCTAGCTTAAAACTGGAGGAGACTATCTGAAGGGAGGGTGGTCCCCTTTCTTAACCCTGCCTGAGGGCAAGGACTGGCCTTTCCCCTCCAGTACAAGTCCACCCCAATCTCCACCCCTGGAGGTCCCCGACCTCAGTTTCACTCAGATTGCAATGACCACGGATGGAGTCAGGGTCAGCTTGTCATCCATGAAGGGGGAAAAGGAATCCCAGAAGGGGGAGGGGTCAGCCAGGGGCTCCCAGCAAAAGGGGCCCTGGCTGCTGGTTCCCAGGCTGGAGCCTGAGGCCCCTCTCTCACAAGCAAGGCCAAGGCCCTGAGGTTACTGCGGGACGCTGTTAGGTTTATTCCAGGGTGAGTGTGTGCCCATGGTGGGGCAGCAAGGATGGCCGAGGCCACCTGGTGACAGGGTGTCCAGGGATGGCCGCAGGTTCTGCAGGGCCCTGAAGGGCCTGAGTCTCTGGTCAGCTGGGAAGCTCCACCTTCTGCCCCAGCCTGGGTGGTGGAGGCAGTCACTGATGTAGCAGTTTCCGTAGTTCACAGGGCTCGGTGATGGGCATCGAGCAGGCCTGATTCTCACACACATAGGCAGTGGCTCGGTCCTCTAGCCGTCGCAGGGTACTCAGGAAGGGCAGCTGGCGGGACAGGAAGCTCGAGGGGTCCCCATTGGCCAGAATCAGCACCTGAGAGAGCAGGAGAGTAGAGAGGGTCACCTGGGGCACTGGGATACTGGCATGGCCCACGAGTGGGTTTCTTTCCCCCAGGCCTTCAGAAGAGCTGGAGATATTGGGGATCTGAGGAGGGGAGGGGACTCGGGCAAGGGAGGTAGACAAAACCTTGTTAGGGATGTAGATGGAGTGGACACACTGCAACAGAGCCTTGGTGTCCTTGGCCTGGGGGTCTCCACAGATCACAATCTGGCCAGAAGAGAAAGATTACTCCAGTGACAGGTGCAGAGGGGCTGGACCCAGACCTACCAGGGCTTCCCCATCCCCCGTCAGGGCTTCCTCCTGCCACTCCACCCTATATGTCTAAGAAGGAAAGGGGACTCAGCTCAGCATCCCCCAGACCAGCTGCCAGGAGGTTACAACAGATTCACTGCTCAGTAGGTGGGAACACATACACACACACTCACACACACACACAGGAGAATACACAAAGTGACAGCATCATACATAGTGGTAAAAGTACAAACCCAGGGAGATGTACACATGGGTGGAGACAACAGCACACACACAAGATTTGATACACTGGAAGATACATAAACACACAACAACCCATACACAGGGAGACAGAGTTGTCACATTGACAAACAGCAGATGCCCCTGGAGAAGCAGATATTACACAAACATCACACACACACACACACACACACACACACAAAGGCAAAAATATACAGGCAAACATGCAAATATAAGCAAGCAAATCTGCACACAGAGCACACACATGCAGACAGGCAATCACATAGTGGTGAACACTCCCACCAGCCCCCACTCATAAAGGCAGGCAACAGACACACAGTCACCTACTGCCAGGGTCATAGACATCCAGATGCACGCACACAGCAAAAACACACATAGGGACACAGACAAGCATACACCTGCACTTGCTACACCACTGACCTAACTACACTGATACACAAAGATATACAGAGAAACACTTCACAAACCATAGGGACCCATATTTAGCCCCTGCCCCTGCCCTCTCTCAGAAGAGCCCAAGTCACAGGCACACACACGCACCTGTGTCAGAAGCCTGCCTCAGACACACTCACACAGACGCCTCCCCCTGCACCAAGCAGCCTTACAGATGTTCCTGTGGGACACTTCCACACACACTCACATAGGGCCACAAACTCACGGACCTGAGGTCTAGGGACAGCCCCAGGAACCCCACTCTGTGCCTTCATCCTCCACTGTGGCCCCAGCTCCCCTCCCACCCATGGCCCTAGCCAGAGTGCCCTCGCTGCACCATACCTGCTTGAGGGTCTGCTGGTGGGCTGAGAGGGCACGGACCATCTCGGGCAATGCCACCGGGACACGGCGCATGCGCTCGGAGAAGGCAGTCAGTAGGCACACACACTTGTCCATCCAGTCCTTGTGGCCGGTGAAGCCGTGCAGCCGAAGCAGGTTGTGGGCTGACACAGAGTTAGCACTAGGCTCTGCGCCATCCTGGTCTGCAGGGCACAGGGGCGAGGGCTGAGAGGGTGGGTCACTGAGTCCCAGGAATCCTCCCCAGGTCTGACAGCGTAACACCAGCACCAGCAGATACTGACCCTCTGCGCTCTCACACGCATCCTCAACTCCACCTGTCCCACGCTGAGCTGTTGGGCCCCAGGCTTCCCATCTCACTGCTGATTTCTCCATCCAGCCACCCAGCTACCCCTCCCTCCCTCTCCCTCACCTCTCATTTCCAGTCCACCCACAAGTCTGCCAGGTCCTTGTCCAGAACAGACCCAATCTGACCACTTCTCCCATCTAGTACATCCACCTCACCTGGGCCTTCACCAACGCTTGCCTGGACTGAAAACCACTAACAGCCTCCTAACTGGCCACCCTGTTTCCCCTGCCCCCATCCCTTCTCCACCATTAGTCAGAGTGACATTCTTAGACCTAAACCAGAGAAGATCACAACCCACTTAAAATCCATCAGCCCCTTCCATTCCTTGCCACACCTACAAGACCCGGCAGGGGTCCAGACCCACCCACCTTGGTACCCTCCTCTTCTCACACGATGGCCTCTGCTCCTCCACCATTCTCCAAGGTGCAGGCTGCCCTTTCAGAGCCCCCCACCAGCAGTTCCCTCCACCTGAAATCCCTCTCCTGCTCCTCCATAACCACACGGCCTATATGGCCCCCAGCCCTTGGTTAAATGACACCTGTCACAGGTTTAATCTGACTCCCCTCGCTGAGTTGGCTCCACTGTTACTCTCTGAGGGCCCTTTCAGTCATTCAGCTAACATTTATTGAACACCCAGTTATGTACCAGGCCTGTGCTAAACCCTGGGAACATTTGAGTGAGGGGAGAGACCATCAATGGACCAGATGCATCAGGTGATGGTAAGAGAAAAGTCAGGGACAGCAAGCACGGAGGGCAGCCCCTACTTCTTGCGGTACTCACAATTTTAACTGCCTGTTTATGTGTGCATTTTTGCTTTAAATCTGTCTGTTAGCTGTGTCCTCTACTACACAGTAAGCTTTATAAGGGTAAGGATTAAGTTGGCCTTGTTCAATATGTGAGTTTAGGCAAGGCAGTTACTGCTACTAACACCTAAGCTAATCTTTACAACAACCTTATAAGGGAATGCCGACGTTAGCTCCATTTTGCATGTTGAGAAACTGAGGCTCTGAAATATAACGAGACCAGCCCGAGGTCACCCGGGAGATGTGAACCCAGGTGGGCCTGGCCCTGCCCACACCGGCTCTTCACCACCACCCTGTGCTTACACCTCTCCCAGGGAAAACCAAGCCCCACTTGGGTCCAGGACCCCAGGCCAGCTCCACATCCTCACTGACCATCCTTGAGACGCAGGGGCAGGCCAGCCCCCAGCTCGGCCTCACTGCAGAAGTAGCCGCCACCCCGGGAGTCCCAGAAGAGCCTGTCCTGTGTGTCCTGCAGCCGCAAAGCCCACTCGAGCCACGCGCTCTCCTGGGAGGCCTCGTACAAGTCCAGCAGGCCCCGAACCACAAAGGCGTAGTCCTCCAGGAAGCCCCAGCATGGCGGGTTGCTGGAGGGACAGACATTGGGGAGGGGCAAGCCAGGGACAGAAGGGCTTTCACAGAGGAGGCCCTTTTCCCGCATACTTTCATTTATCCCTTAAAGTCTACCTTTCGGGCAGGTCCCCTTAGCCCACTTCCCAGAGGAGCAAAAGGGCCCAGGGAAGCTGACAGCTCACAGCAGGCAGACAGCAGTCAGGAAGAGGGCTCACCCTGAGGGGAGGAGCGGGGTGGAGACAGGCATGGGGTGCCCAGGGAGGCAAGCGTTCCCGGACTGCCCGGCCCCTACCTGTGTTCCACGGTCCCCCCGGACCCTGCATAGCAGGTTCTCATCAGCCGGCCGCTGGCCACGTCAAACATGTGCCGCTTTAGGAACTTGGCACCATTGATGGCATAGTTAATCAGCCTCTCCTGGCCCAGGACAGCCCCGGTCACGGCATAGCCAGACACCATTAGTCCTGAAGGAAGGAGACACCGGTGGTCATGCGACGCTGGCCGGGGCCCTCCAGGTGTGTCCACCGCAGCCCATCATGTCCTGATTCCTCCCTGGAGCAACAGGGTAAGTGAGTAAATTTGTTTTGAGCTCCAGCACCAGGCAGGGCTGGGTTCCTGGCCCCTGCATTTGACCTTGGGTGGATTATTTTAACTTTCTAAGGCTCAGTTTGTTCATTTGTAAATTGAGGGCAATCAACCTGACAAAGAAAGAGTTAATATTTAGCAGGTGCTTGTCACCCAGAAGGGGCGTCATGAAGGGTAATTCTAGAAGCGGGTCAGGCTTGAGCCTCAGCCACCCCACCGTTCCAGGCGGCCAGCATCTTGCTGTCCAGGTGCGGCTTTGGCCGATGTTTCCGGGCCTGGAAGAGCTTCTCGAGGCCTGCATTGAGTAAAGTCCGCACGGCCTCCACGTCCAGGCCAAAGCGGGCAGCAGTCAGCTCCAGAGAATACCGGACGGTCAGCACATTCTGGCCCTGCAGCTCCCCCTTGGGGTCCTGAGGAAAACAGCCCTTGTCCGAAGGAGTCCGCTTGCCCGTCCAGCTTCAGGTTCCCCCCTGCACCCCCAGTAGTCCTCACCTGGCTGGGGCTGATGTTGCCGGCTTCCGTAAGCCCATAGTGCTTCGTGAGCAGCTGGCCCGAGGTCAGCGGCTCCGTAGCGCCCGGCACGGGCTCAGGAAGGAGCTGCTGGACCTCTTTGACCGTCCACACGTAGAAGGCGCCCTCTTTGGGCCTCATGCCCCGCTCGGGGGGCGAGTCCGCGTCCTCAGCACTACAGAAGCCTCCAGACTGTGGGGAGGGGAGAGTTGGCCGGCCTCACCCTTCGGGGCAGCGGAGGCCCTGAGCCCTCCCGCAGCCAAGCCCGCCTGCCTCAGTGGACACACACCCGGTGACTCAGGTTCCGCGTCACGTACTGCAGAATGCCTTTGGCAACATCAGAGTAGAACTCATCCCCAGAGATCTGAGTGGGGAGGAAAGAGGCTGTAAACCGAGGTCCCTGGGGTGACCCCGGTATGGGAGTGTTGGGGGAGGCAGTCAGTGTTCTCCCAGGAGGGTAGGGAGGGAGCCTGGGTAGTGGATATGTGAGAGAGAATTAGAGGTGAGGTTAAGGGGCAGCCGCAAGTCACCAGGAAGGCAGGGGAAAGGTGGACAGGCTGTGTCTCTGCTCTGGGCTGGCGTCAGGGGTCACCTGATAGGCCTGTGAATAGGCCACCGTGAGCTGCGCCTGGTCATACAGCATCTTCTCAAAGTGAGGGACGTGCCACTGGCGGTCCGTGGAGTAGCGGTGGAAGCCCTGTGCCAGGCAGGACACAGGGCTGGAGACCGATCCCAGGCGCTGCCCCCACCCACTGCCCCACCCCGCAGCCTCCCGCTGCCCTCTCCAGGGAATACCAAACCCCCCTCACCTGCCCCACGTGGTCTCGGATGCCCCCATTGGCCATCATCTTCAGGGTGTGCAAGGCCATCTGCTGGGCCCGAGAGCCATCCTGGGTGAGCCGATGGCTGAGCCAGTAGGAGAACAGGAAGCTGAGAATCACTGCGGGCACCAAGAGCGTGCAGATCAGAGGGCAGGGAGGCCAGGGCAAGAGCAAGGTGTTTGGGCCCTTGGCCAGGCTGGGGTTAGGAGTTCACTCAACAGCAGTCTCTCTGGATAGTCTCAAGGTCAACCCAGGAGATGGATGATTGTTGTCTACGTCAGTGTCAGAGGGTCCCTGCTGAGACCACAAGTCAGGTCTTCACTAGATAGCTACTGCCAGACTGACCGACAGGCTGGCGGTCATGAGATCACCGGCCAGACAGGAGAGTGGGAGGTTAATGCCCAGGTCAGGCATCAGGAGATCACCGCCTAGGACAGGCCTCGTCACTCAGAGGGCCAGGCTGGGGCTGGAGTGGGTGTGCACAGGGGATGCTGACCCGGCGTGGGAAACTTGGGGGCCTCAGCGAAGCCGCCATACTCCTCATCATAGCCCTCGTCCAGCTGCTGGAAGCAGCGGCTATTCATGGTGGCAGCAGAGGGTGGCAGCTGGCGGTCCCCCATGCTGATCTCCGACCGGGCCAGCAGAGCTGTGGTGACACGCTGGCTGTTTTCTAGCAGGGTACTCTTGTTCTGCTTCCACTGCGGGAGGCAGAGCAGACCTGAGGGTCAGCACAGGGTAGGGGTCCCTTGCTCCCCTACCCTTGACTCCCATCCCCCACCACCCCCCAGCGAACACCCACCTGGTCCCGTATCCTGATCAACACCGTGCGAAAGCCAACTCGGGTCAAGCCATCCTCAGGGGGGAAATAGGTGCCCCCCACAAAGGGCTGTAGATTGGGAGTCAGCCACACACTCATGGGCCAGCCCCCACCACTGCTGGTGGCCTGGCAGAGAGAGGGCAAGGGTGAGGCGAGAGGCCCTATGTGCATGGGCAATGCCCCCACCAAGGGACAACCCCTCACCTGCACAAAGGTCATATACACCTTGTCCACATCCGGCCGCTCCTCCCGGTCCACCTTTACGCTGACGAAGTCCTCACTGAGCAGGCGGCCAATCTCCTCGTTCTGGAAGGACTCCTCCTCCATCATGTGGCACCAGTGGCAGGTGGAGTACCCCACTGGAATGGGGCCGGGGGGCCAGGGGTGCCCATGACTGGTCAGAGCGGGACCAGCCAAGGGGCCCCAGCTGGACTGAAGAGGCCCTGGCGCTAGTTTCCTGGGAGGTCCCCAGGCCCAGAGACCCTTCTCTCCACCACCACCACTCCCCTCCACCCATCCCAGGGAAGGCGGGTGCATTTACCTGAAAGGAAAATTGGCTTGTTTTCTTTCCTGGCCTTGTCGAAGGCTTCCTGTCCCCAGGGGTACCTAGGCCCGGCAGGGTGGGGCATCATTCACTAGCCCCAGGAGATGGGATGGTGTTGTGAGTCCAGCTGCCCCCACCCCAGGAGGGAAGCAAAAGAGGTACTTACCAGTCCACAGGGTTGTAGGCATGTTGCAGGAGGTACGGTGACTTCTCATTGATCAGGCGGTTGGGGACCTTCTGAGGTGTGGACTGAGTGCAGTTAGTCTGGCTTGCCTTCCCTCCAGCAGGCATGGGCACTGAACTACCGACTGTCACACGTCGGTCTTTGTCCCGGGAGGAGCTCCCCCTGGCATGGGCAGGGGGTCAGGTGAGGAGTTTCTACAAGCTCCCGCTGTGCCTACCCCAGAGGCCTACCTGACCCCATCCTTCCCTCTGACACCCCTCCTGGAACCCCCTGCTCCCAGTCCAACCTACCTTTCTGAACCACGGGGGAGACCGTGGACTTTATGCTCCCCCTTGTGTTTTTGGGGGGGTGAAGAAAGGTGGCTCATTGGGGGCTCCCTGACAGGTTAGTCTCCCCCAACTTTTCAGACCTGGCGGTGGGAAGTATGATGACTGTGAGGTCAGGGTGAGTCACAATGGGTGGAATGGTCCTTCAGGCTCCATTCTCTCCCCTTAACAGGCCCCACCCCATGGTGGCTGTGCTGGAGGAGTCTCTGTCATGTCTGGATGTGATCTGGGCAGGCAGGCTGCCCGCTCCTGGGTCTGGGACTGGACCAGGTGAGGCACAACGGGAGGAAAATTGACACCTGGGGCTCCCTCTATCAACATCCACCCACTGAGCACCTCTACGGGGCCAGGTCCTGTGCCAGACCCCCATGACTCCCGAAGAATCAGAAACTGGCCCTGATCTCAGGGCGCTCATCCTGTGGGGGTGGCACTGTGGGGCAGACCTAAATACTGACAGGCCCCTGCAGCAATGACTGTGACAGGCCAGCCCAGGGTGCTATTGGACAAGGACCCTCAGCCCAGCTTTGGGGTTCATATAAGGCTTCCTGAAGGCGGTGTCAGAACAGAGTCCCTAGGCAAGCTAGCCCTGCAGCTGGTGGGGAGAGGTGGAGAAGGGCGTTACTGCCTGGGCCAGGTCGCGGGCGCGGACTTGGGGCGGTGGGTTGGGGGAGGCAGG